AATATCGGTAAGAATTTAATATTTTGGTAAGAATTTAATATTTTGGTAAGAATTTAATATTTTGGTAAGAATTTTATAATTTGGAAAGAATTTAATATTTTGGTAAGAATTTTCTAAGTGATTTAGTCACTCTTTATCTTATATTGCTTTTCGTAATTTAATTCAAGGTGCAAATCAATGTTTTTTTATTTTTATTGTATTTTCAAACAAAAATTTTGGATAGGCAAAATATACTAATTTTCAAAAATTTCAAAAGTTAATTTATAAAAACTGTAAAACAAGTTGCTTACAATTAACATCGAAATTTAAAATTAAAAAAGATCTACATTTGATATATCAGAGATTCGTAAAAAGAAATAAAAATTATTATTTTTGATTACTTTAAAACTATTATCTTCATTGTTTTGCGGGCATATGTCCGCAGAACAAAGAAGACAGTATAAACTTATCGTTTTTATATAAATATATAATATAAATTTTCTTTTACAAAGATCTTTATTAAATTAAGTACTAAACAGACAGAGAGAATCCTTATTAGTGTTATTAAAAAAACTAATAAGTATAAAAGTATTGCGCTCATAAGCAAGTCTTAACTTAAAAGCAAGTCAAAAACCTGAAAATAAAATGACTTCAGAGTAGCTAGTTCTGCACAAACTTTTCACAAGTTTTAAAAACTTTTTTTTTATTAGAAACTTAAATGAACTTAACGTGATTGAAAACCTTTGAATCCCTTTCGATAAGTTTTCCATATTTTTGGGCCTTGATATGCAATGTTATATTTCGTATTTTTAACAAATTTCTGAACCAGTTTATATGTGTTATTTATATTTGGTTTTTATATAATAGTTTTTGCTTATATTTATTTTAAAATTGTTATTAAAGTTTGTAGGAGAGAGATCATTGTTGAATCATTACATAAAAGTCAAATGCTGATAGATATTTATTTCAAATACATTCATTATTTTAATTTCTTACATTACAGTTTTAGCGTGTTCATGCTTATCTTTAGAGTAAATAATTTTGCAAGAATGGACCAAATTATTTTAAGAAGACCAAATTATTTCAAGTTATAAAATATAATTATAGTTATATAAAATAACTATAATTATATATAAAATTAAACATAAGACATGAGATAAATATAAATTATGAAAATAAAGAAAGTTCTGGTAAACAAACTTTCAAGCCTTTAATATTTTAATACTGAACTTAATGCTGCAGCTGCCGCTGCCGCTGCACAGTGGGCCAGAATAGTAAATTTTGAGACAAAATTAATAACTAATTTAATATTAGTACTGTATTTACCAAATTTAGCAAGAGTATAAAAATGAGGTCTGCGCTTCTTATGAAAGTGATAATTTTTATATTTAGTTGCTAATGATACCTAATTTAGCATAGCAACAACCTATTTTTGATTTTAGAGATTTTTTTTTTAGTGTTACATTTACCAAATTTGACATGAGTACAAATATGAGGTCTATGCTTCTTTAAAAATTTTTATTTTTTATATTTAGTTGCTATGGATATCTAATTTTGCAAAGCAACAAACTGTTTCTGGTAGTTAGAGATTTTTTATTTGCGCTACGCACACTAAATTTGGCAATATGAGGTCTTTACTTTTAATAAAAGTGATTTTTTATCTTTGGTTACTATGGCTACTTAATTTTGCAGAGCGAAATTAGGTGGTAATTTACCTATGGTTTACTAATTTTGCTTAATAATTTTGTTTAATAATTAATTAAAATTTATATAATAAAGCAATCGATTTTTCTACACATAATTTTATTACTTATTTCCTAACAGCCCTATATGCACTTTATTTTAATATAGCACATAAAAAATATTTATCATAATATGCTGAAGCGAATGACTGGGACGGCAAGATTTTGTTTCCCACCACCAGAAGAGCGACGTATCATCATATTTGATTCACATATTAATATACCTAATTTTTAAGTAAAATAATAACTTTTAAATGATTAAATATTTTTTTATTTACAATAGTTATTAAAAAAAAATTCGTTTAAAACTTTAATTCACTGGTTTTAAAACTAATATTAGTGAATCAGTTATGATCGGGTGGTATCGGACACATGTTTGGAGGGTAGCACCGGACAACTTAATTCGTTTATATTTTAATAATAAACAACTTTTTTATATAAATATTATTACATTTAATATAATATATAAACCTATAATAGCAATTCATTTAATTCCAATAAAAAAACATTAGATTTGAAAAAAGTGTTAAAATCTTTATTTTCATAATAAAAAAGCTTGTTTGTATTTTTAAATGATGACATTTTCATTCTCATTCCTTACATATCAGATACTTATGTTATTAATGTGTTCAGGTAATTTGCTTAACAAGCTGCGATTAATCTGAAATAAAGGAAAAATTAAATAACCCCGTTCTGCTACTCTAGAATGTACTGCTGTGGAAACAAAAAAATAAAACTGCCCGTAGCTACCAAAAACTTTAAAGTTTTATTTTAACAATTAAATTTTATTTTTCTTGTCCGAACCCGTATCTTTAGGGTACTAGGACAGCTAGGATATATATATATATATATATATATATATATATATATATATATATATATATATATATATATATATATATATATATATATATATATATATATATATATATATATATATATATATATATATATTTATATATATTTGTTGTAAAATTTGTTGTCAATTTAATGTTTGATTGTACCATTTTCGATCCAAACATTTTAAACATTTTTTCATATAAGTTCATATTTTCCTTTTCTTATATATTTTATATATATATATATATATATATATATATATATATATATATATATATATATATATATATATATATATATATATATATATGTATATATATATATATATATATATATATATATATATATATATATATATATATATATATATATATATATATATATATATATATATATATATATATATATATATATATATATATATATATATTTGTTGTAAAATTTGTTGTCAATTTAATGTTTGATTGTACCATTTTCGATCCAAACATTTTAAACATTTTTTCATATAAGTTCATATTTTCCTTTTCTTGTTTTAAAAATGGGAAGCTGAATTCGGATTTAGATTTGGTTAAAAATAGTTGGAAAATATTTTATAACGCTTCAAAATCATGAATAAAATTGATGGTAATAAATATTTAAAGAAACTTAAAATTGATAATAATAACTATTTAAAGACTTGAATTTTATGTTTAAACTTTTAAAATATTAGGTTTAAACTTTCAACTTAAATTGATTTTAGTGGAATCAAAAATCTTTTTTTGTAAATTAATTTTGTGAGCAAAAATTAAAAACAAAACACAAACGCGCTCTAGCGCTCATTTTAAGGTTATTAAATTCTCACAAAATGATAAAAGTGCACTTAATAACTAATTTAAGCCTATAATATTTATAGATAAAAATTTAAAATTAATTTAAATATATTTATAGATTAACTGATTAACTTATGCTTATTTTTAGAACCCAGTTGACGAAGTTAGATTGGAAGTTGCAGCGGCGGAAAAACTTTTCTACGAAGAAAGCATATTTAGAGCTATTTTGTGTTCAGAAGTTGGCATTCTTACTGTTTCGTTACTTCTTGGTGTTGCATGGGAAATGTTTGTCAGGAATAAAAACTCTGGTAAGTAATTTTTAAAAAATCCAGATTTGCCTAAACGATATTTATTTTGAATAAAATATATTTACTTTGAATTCAATGTAAGTAAAATTGGGCTAAAGGCAATATTTTTCAATCTTGTTGGAGCAAATCAAGCACAAGGGAAAACATATAAACAAATATACTTTACATATATATAATATAACATAGGATAAATATATAAATAAAACAACAACAATACAATCAATGATAATGGAGTAGCTCTGTAACATTCCTTTTGTTTTATTTAAATAAAATCTGATTGATTGATCTAATCCATAAATTATTATCTTTCAACACACCTTTATGATATTAACAAATAGGTGATATTTAATCACGAAAAGGTGAGAAAACAATATCACATTGATATTGAATATCGTAAGCTCGGAGTCAAAGGGTGTAGGGGTGCCCACCCCCCTAAAGCTGTTATATGTGCATTTGAGTTGACACATTTGCACGTTTAGCATTTGAGTTGGCAAGTTTAGAAAAATAGTTGGCAAATATCAAATTAAGCGGACCTTTTTTTGTGTGCGTGTCTCTAGTTGGCAAAAAACACATCGGATACCATCCCCCTCTTCCCCATGAGAGACCTCGTCGGGACGGCCCTGCTCGGAGTACAAGTGCAGTATTGATAATTTATTAAAATTATATATATAAATTTTGTATCTAATTTCTGTAAAGTTAACATTATGTTAATGAATCTAATTTACATAAATTAAAAAATTACATATTTATTTATAATTTAAATAAATATTGAATACAACACTTATATTCCGAGCTGACGATATGATATTAATGAATGTGTGATATTTAATGTGATAATAATAAATATTTAACATTAAATAAGATATTGAATAAGCATTAATTTTTCTAGCTGCTTATCGTTTGGTTAGTCGTTTTCAAAAAAAACCTCAATTCTCTAGCAATATGAATTTGACAACTCACAGTAATGCTGAAGAAAATATGACGGTAGAAAATATGACGGTAGAAAGACTTATTTTGGAATACGACGATTTTCATTTGCAATGGATGAGTCAAATGAGAAACCTTTTAACAAGAAAAAATGGTCAACATGCTGTTTAAATTCATTTTATTAAGTATCAAAAGTGATTGTTATATTGACGTTAAACTTTACTGGCGCAATATTGCACGTTATGTTTAATACGTTCGCAATATTGCACGTTATGTTTTAATACGTTCGCAATATTGCAACGCTAATAAAAACTAAAAAAAAAATTTTAATATATTTTTAATGATATATATATCATTTTTTAATTTAATTTTTTTGAACCAGTAAATTATAAGTAACACGACGAACACAGAACACAGAAAGACGGAGCAAGATGCGAGCGTTTTTTTTTTAATTTTTTTTGGCAAGTACACGATTCAAAGTGTGAAAAGGGTTGTCTTTGGTTTAAACTGTAAGATATTAGTTATTTTGTAAACTAAAATATTGGCGTTAACTTTTTTAACTACAACAAACTTCTTTTTAAGTTTCAAGACCAGCAATGATAGAAATATAGGTTCCGATTAAAAATGTTTTACTATAATTACTTTCAGTATTTCATGTGATAGTAGTAGTATTTAAATAATCTGTTTAATAGTATTTAAATAATAGTAGCTCTAAAAGTGTTACTAGATGTCAGTTAACCAAAGCGTTGAAAAAGTGTTACTAGATGTCAGTTAACCAAAGATGTCAGTTAACCAAAGGGTTTACAAGGTACTTCTATTAATGTTAACCAAAGGGTTAAAAAAGGGTTTAAAACTTCTACTATTATCTATTACTACAAGTAAAATTTTAAAATAGTTAGCTTTTATCAAATTTAGTAACTTTTGTTTTTTGCCTAAGAAAGTTAGAAAATAACTACCCGTATAATTGAGTAACGTCGAGCTAAAAGCTCACTCAAAAAACGCAGTTATAGACAGTTAGTGTAATTTTTGTAAACTGGGTTTACAGTTATAGGGTATTGCAATATTAAAAGAATAATAACATTGAATCAGGCAAAGCTTATTTATATATTCGTAAGGCTCTCTAAAATTTTAATTTTTTTAATATTAACATTAGCACGTTTATTCTTACTAGAAAATCAATTCTAAACTATTTATCAAAAAATATTTGTTTGCTCTCAAGATATTGGAATTTAAAGTTTGATAAATATTTTAGAATTATTGGCCAAATGATGTCAAACGTATTTTAAGCTTGAAATTAAAACAATGCCAATACTTTCCCAAGGTTATTTCATTTCATGTTATATATTAGCTAGTTGAGACCTAAAACAAGACTAAAAATTAATAGTACGCAGATTGCTTGTCTAAAAATTTATGGCAGGCATATTGCTAGTCATTTCAATCTTTATTTTCGCCCAAAGTCTTAGGTACTCTATGATTTTTTTATATTATAAATCTTCATCTAGCAAATTGCCGAAGATAATATTTACCGGGGGCTGCCTGTAAATTACCCGGCTAAACATCTCAATTCATTCCTTGTAACAAAGAAGTCACTACTAAGTATCAAAGAGCGTCTCAAGCGAAGAAAATGGTGCAAAGAGAGAGCTGCATGGACTGTAGAGCAATGAATAAAATTAATTTTCTCGGACGAGTCAAGTTTTGAACTTATCAGTTGAATTATGAGTTGTCGTGAAGAGATACAAAAACGAAGAATCCTTGTTTTATCATGTCAAGTGTTCAAGGAGGAGGAGACTCAATTGGCATTTGGGGCTACATTGCTGGATCTAGCATTGGCCTGGTAAATCTTTACACTGATTGCCTTAATCAACATCGATAAAAAAAGATATTAGAATATTATTTAAAGCCATCAACGAACGTTTTCAAGGCTGACTCCACCTGGCAATTTCAAAAAGATAACGTTCCTTGCCACTAAGTAAATTGCAAATAATCTAATCCAAAACATTCTCAAACTTAAATCCAAAATATTAAATATTATTATTTGCGTTCAAAATATTAAATTATTTTAATATTTTGAATGTAAATAAATATATGTATATCTGTATAAAAATGTATTCAGATATATATATAAGAGTGGAGTGATTTTCATAGCTAAAAAAAAAAGTTTAGAAATCAATATTCCTGAGACACGAATCGATGTCTATTAATTATAAGATAAAAGTAAAAAAATATTTTTTGATTTTGATGATATTTTGAGGTTCCTCTTTGGATTCTAAATTCTTGACGGATCTTAATATTTTTGGATTTTTTTTTTCTAAACCATATCAACCTCGGACTCAAAAAAAGCAGAAAAAAATGCTTGTTTTATTAACAGTAAATTTATTTTAAAAAATTTTAAGTGAAACAAATACTTGCAAAAAATTTACCTTAAAACCTCCGTTTTAATAAAGACAGGGTTTTTTTTATAAAAAAAACGACACTATTATTTTAGTTTTAAAATAAAACAAATATTATTATCAAAATCAGCATATTATTTTGCTTCTTTTAAGTACCAGGTTGATATAGTTTAGAAGAAAAAAAAGTTTCAACAATATTAGGATCCGTTATAAATTTAGAACCCAAAGAGGAACCTCAAAAACACATCTAAATTTTAAAAAAAAAGGTTTTTTTTCATCAAAAGACATCGATTCGCAGCTCAGGCAAATCAAATTTTGAAAATTTGCTCCACCCTAATATATATATATATATATATATATATATATATATATATATATATATATATATATATATATATATATATATATATATATATATATATATATATGTATATATATATATGTATATATATATATATATATATATATATATATATATATATATATATATATATATGTATATATATATATATATATATATATATATATATATATATATATATATATATATATATATATATATATATATATATATATATATACTTTTTTAGCAGTAATACAATACATACAAGTAATATCACAAACTTAGAAGAATGTGTCCCTTTAGAGGCAAATATGATCCTCTTTTTTCCGTAGAAGAGTTTGCTTTCGTTGGATGCTACTGAATTAAGCAGTGAAACAACAAATCGGCCTTCGCTCATGGGGAATTTGTGTTTATTTAATTGATAATCTTAAAGATTGTAATGACATTTATAAAAAATATTGTAAAAAAGAATTAGTAAATCAAAAATTCACTACAATTAAAATTGTGAATGCAACAAGTTCTGTGGTGGAAATGCCAAAAAATGTTTTGGAAATGAAAAAGCTTTTATAAGAAAACTCGATATCAAAGCTCAAAATATTATAGTTGACAAATCAGATTTATCAGCATTGATAAGCTTTGACTCAGGTTTACGTTCACATACATTTACGGACAATCAAAAATCATATTTACTCCAGTTAGGGCCGCACCAACCAAAACTTGCTAGTTTCCCAAGTGACGGTAAAAGTAGGTTTAATTCCCCAGTGGTATGAAGAGTTTGAACATTGAGAATAAAAGACCCAGAAGGATGCCACATTTTGTTTTGTCTACTGCCTTTTCCCCAAGTTTGCTTTGATAAATATTTGGGTAAAATCTTGGTCCAAGATGAAAAGCTATGGGAAAGACAAACTTGGGAAACTTCAGGTGTACTTTCCCAGTGGGCACCGGACCAAAAAAAGACGTCTTTTGAACGTTCAAAAACGTCCAAAACGTTCAAAAGACGTTCAAAAGACGTCAAAACGTGTATAAGACGTTTAAAAGACGTCTTTTTTACGTCCGTGTCCACTGGGTTAGCTCTCAAACTCATAAAGTTGCATTAAGTGAATATTGTCACTTTATTATGAAAAAGGGGCATATAGATCACCTTATTGATAAATCCAAGAGATTCACTCTGATAGAAGAGCAAAAATTAGAGATAGAAAATGCAGAATAGAAAAACTGTCAAAATTCTTATTGATTCATGTAAGACTTTAGGAAGCCAAGAGCTACCTAGTAACATATATATATATATATATATATATATACTATATATATATATATATATATATATATATATATATATATATATATATATATATATATATATATATATATATATATATATATATATATATATATATATATATATATATATGATTCATGTAAGACTTTAGGAAGCCAAGAGCTACCTAGTAACATATATATATATATATATATATATATATATATACATATATATATATATATATATATATATATATGTTACTAGGTGTCAAGCAAGGGTACCTTTTTTGTAAATTAAAACCTTATAACAGTTCGAAACAATAATAATGACGTATTTATTTCTTAAATGAATTTCTTGAACAAAATAAATAGACTATAAACTTATATTTTACAGATAAAATTATCTCAAAGTGTTTTTATTTAAGAGTAAACTTACTATTTTCATTTTAATACATATAGTATAGTAATATTTTTCTTCTTCTCGTGATGCAATTTGTTTTAAATCAGTTACAACAACTTTTTCTCGTGATTTAATCCGTAAATGTTGTAAATAAAAGAATTTCATTACTCTTATAACTTCTTCTCGTGATACAATCTGTTTCAAAATAAATTACCAACACTTCTTCTCCTGATTCACTCAGTAAATGTTGAATTAAAAAGGAAAACACTTTTCCTACTTCTACTCTTTTCATAACTTAAAATTTTTATTTTAAATCTGATTTTTTTTTGTGAAAAATTAATAACATAACGATGTCTGTTTATGTAAAAAGATGTTATTATTTACATTTAAACACATTTAACAGAGTTAAAGGACATTATGAATATTCCATAATGTTACGCATGCGTACCAATATGTAAAAATGTCAGTTGGCCAATAGTAACTGTTCAATATTGGCAAACAATATTTCGCTAATATTGGTATATCAATATTAGTAAAACAATAATGGGATAATATTGGCGCAATATTGTTTGCCAATATATTTATTGTTTTACTAATATTGATATACCAATATTGGCGAAATATTGTTTGCCAATACTGGTGAAGTAATATTGGGATAATATTGCTCCAAAATATTGGCGCAATATCGCGATATTGGATATCTTGGCGAATCTTGTCCAATATCGCGCCAATATTGCACCAAAATTGCTACTTGGGCCTTTTAATGAAAACTGGAAAATTCTTTCTTAATCCGTAGAAAACCCATTTTTAATCTGTAGTTTTATTTTCAATTTAAATTATTAAATTTTCCATAATTTATAATAATATGCAATAAAGATTTCAAGCACGCAAAAATTGATTCAGTAAGTTATATTATATAGGCCAACAGATTTACATTTTATACATAATATTGCATAT